ATCCAGCTCTACGCCTTGTTATCTCTAAAGCCTCACATTCAGTTAGGGGCCAATGTCTCAGTTTTCCAACATTACACTGCAGCCCTCCAGTGGGTCAAGCAAGGAACTGCACTCAGAATCCTTTTACAATCAATGAAGTGCTGTCGTAATATAGGAAATATGATTATGTGGTGATGGATGGATCATCTTACTTTTGGTGAAGTTAGTTGAGGGATAAATACCAGGCAGAACATCAGGGAGAACTACCCTACTCCTCTTTGAAATAGTGACAAGCACCCGAGAAAGCCTTTATTTGAGCTCTCGTCAAAAGCTGACAGTTCCAACAGTGCAGCACTCCCTGACCGTCAGCCTTTATTTTGTTCTCAAATTTCTAGCCCGGGACTTGAACGTACAACCTCCGAGTCTGAGGCAACGGTATAATTACTGAGCCAATGCTGCCAACAAGGGGTTTTCAAAATCACGAGTGTGCTGGACAGAGCAGGTAAGGAGAAGCTGTTCCTGATCCGAAAAGAAAAACAAACGAGAGGGAATAGACTTAAAGGTGATATACAATCGAAACAAAGTTGATGAGAGACAATGGAAACGTGCTTCCTGGAAATGTGATGGAGGTCGGTTTAATTGAGGCATCCAAGGCATCACTGGATGATTATTTGGCTAGAAATAGCATGCAAGGACAGGGAAAAAGGCAGGAGATTGGTACTAGGTAATAGAACTGGTACAGGCATGACGAGCCTAATGGCTTTCTTCTGCATTGTAACAATCCTGTGATTCTGGATCAGGGTGATTGCAAATGGGGCAATGTTTAAAGGCATATTAAAGTATTGACAATATTATAAAATACTGGACAGTCAAGCTAGAATGGAAAAATAATTTAGGTCACGGATAAAAAGTTGCGTCTAGGGCAAGGTTTACTAAATATTCACAACTTACCATCAGTAAATACCATCTGTCCTAATGTAACTGAAGAAAGGCAGGTGCAAAAACATAAGAATATAAGAGTGCTTTCACACTACAGCATGGTTTATGGGAACATGGCCTAAATGCATTTTAAATCCTTCACGTTTACTTTTAGACCGCAGCCTGTCTCTCTATGGATCTCTTTCTTTTTTCTTTCACGGGAAGTGACTGTCATTAGTAAGGTGTGCATTTGCTACTCATCCCTAATTGTCCCTGAACTGAGTGGCTTATCCAGCCATCCTTATCGGACTGGTGTCACATGTAAGCAGATTCCCCTCCCTTCAAAGGACATTACTGAGGCAGGTGGGTTTTTTTACAAATTAAAATCAATGACAGTTATCATAGTTACCATTACTAGCAATATTTATTCATTGATTTATTCATTGATTCATTTAGCTGAGGAAGAACTTCCTCATCCAAAAGGCTGTGAATCTGTGGAATTCCCTGCTTAGTGAAGCAGTTGAGACTACTTCACTGAATGTTTTTAAGGCAAAGACAGATAGATTTTTGAATAGCAAAGGAATTAAGGGTTATGGTGAGCATGCAGGTAAGTGGAGCTGAGTCCACAAAAAGATCAGCCATGATCTTACTGGATAGCACAGCAGTTGAGGGGCCAGCTGAACTACTCCTGCTCCCATCTCTTATTTTAATTCCATTAGCCACCTTAATAAGATTTGAACTCATGAGTACAGAGCATTACCCTGGATCTCTGGGTTATAGCCCAGTGGCATTATCGCTACACTTCCATGCCCCCGCAGCACATACATATAAAAAACACAAACACAGGCTGGCCTTGAAATTTAGCTACTACATATCACTGAGTTGCTGCCTCAGTGCTAATCTATCTCCTAACCCCAAGGCAACATAGGCCTAGTCTATACGACCAGTTTTTGGAATTTATCTCCATAATCCCAGCTTTATACAGGTGAACCTGCAGTATGTGCAGTTCATGACCAATCTTTTCAAGGATAAGTTTTAAAAAGTCTGCAAGGAACATTGTTGCTGGAGACCAGTGATAAGTGAAGACTAAGGAAGAAGCAGGTCCCCGAGTTAGCGTCTTAGAAAATTTGCACACTCAGTCGAGATTATGCTGTTGTCTCCCTGTTGCAGGATATATGTAAAAGCAGATTTAAAAGAAATGAAAAAGAATATTTTGCCCATTAAACCAGCTCCTTCAATAAGCTTTGCAGCCTAGTCTCTCACAAATTCTGTACAATGCATTTCAAATCTTAACAGACAGCTGAGCTGAAGACAATTCCACAACAAACTGAAGAGGTTTTGTTTTGTTACATCACCCTGGTATTTAGACCCTACTGAAGTTAACACATCTTACAAATGAGAAATGAATCAACACTTGCTTGTAGCTCATTTTGCCCATCCTCGACAGATACTGGGTACCTGCCTCAGTCAGTTAGACAGATATTGGTGCCCATCTATTTGGGATAGATGGAAAGATATTTGGGAATCTAGATAGACAGAGATATGTGCACGTGCCTCAATCAATCAAGATGACGAATGTGCTTGTATTCATTCTAAATAGGTAGGCAAGTGTATATGCAGCACAGTGAACTGCCCCAGATGTGTCCTGCACAAGTCCTAAATAGATCAGTCACCTTGAACTAGTTCCAAAATTATACGTGAAGTCAGAGATCAATCCACAAAATCACAACAAAGTAATATCATTCCTTTGTCAAGGATTCCACTGGAATCAAATTTTCTTTCACAAAATGATGAGACAATTATCGGTACGAAAATTAATTTATCCCATCTTAATTCATCAGTTTGGGAGACCTTGAACCCTCCAATTGCATTTCCAATTTTTTTTTTCTGAAATGATTCCAGGATTTTTGCCTCCATACTCTACCTGAGTGTTTAACCCACACACATTCAACATTCTGAAGCAGAATTTCCCCACAACTTCTAAAATGAACTTCTGAGAATTGGAACTCATGCCCTGTAGTTCTACTTCTGCATCTTAATTTAAACTAAAATTTCAGGTTCATTTTGTTTAAAGCTTTAACAATTTGTCATGAGACCACTTCATTGCTTTACTTGAAGTCAAAGATCAAAAGTGTGTCCTGACGTATAACCCCTGGCACAACAGTTTGTATCCTCATGATTCTTCCTACACTGCTTCCAGCACTTGACTGTCTTTCTTGTTCCTTGGTTGTCAGGACTACATGAAGTATTCAAGAAAGAGTTTGACCAGACACTTTAAAATTTGATCACAACTAGTTCCCTCTTTTATGCCATAGTTAGGACAATATCCAATTGCTCGGTCTTGCTTTAAATACACTAACATTTCTCACTCTATTTTAGCTTCGCCCAGAGGTATTTTAGCACCAAGCATGCTTGTCATTTCACTTTCTTTTTTCATTCACTTGTGGGATGTAGGCATCACTGGTGGGCCAACATTCATCATCCCCCTCTAGTTACCCTTGAGAAGATGGTAGTGAGCTAAAAAACCTAATTAATTTTAAATTTTAATTTTAATTTTAAATAATTAACTAAGTAGAGATGGCAGGCCAGGTGATGTGTTGTAGCTGTATGATGTGGGAGCTAGCTGATCCCATTGAGAACGGCAGTGACCACATCTGCAGCAAGTGTTGGCTGCTTGAGGAGCTCCGGCTCAAAACTGATGAGCTGGAATCCGAACTCCAAACACTGCGGCACATCCAGGAGGGGGAGAGATACCTGGATGCTGTGTTCCAGGAGGCAGTCACACCTAGTAGATTAACTAATGTTAATTCGATCAGCGGCCAGGGACAGCAGTGTGTGACTGCGAGTGAGGCAGGTAGAGGGACCCTGCAGACAGGAACACAGGAGCCGCAGCCCTCGACATTGTCCTACAGGTATGAGGCACTTGCTCCCTGCGTGGATGAGGAACAGGGGTGCAGGAAGGATGAGTCAACACGACCATGGCACTATGGTTCAGGAAGCCATTCAAGAGGGGGGAGCTAAAGGACAGATTGTAGTTATAGGGGATTCCATCATCAGGGGGATAGACAGTATCCTTTGCGAGCAGGATAGAGAGTCCCGCATGGGGTGTTGCCTGCCTGATGCCAGGGTGCGAGACATCTCTGACCGGCTTGAGAGGATACTAGAGAGGGAGGGGGAGGATCTAGTTGTTGTGGTCCACGTAAGTACCAACAACATAGGCAGGACTAGGAAAAA